CCGGAGGGGACATGATGAGTCTCCTGATTCGACGGGGCATCTTCGACGAGGAGCTGGCGCGTTTCTACACCGCCGAGCTCACCTGCGCCGTGGAGAGCGTTCACAAGATGGGCTTCATCCACCGCGACATCAAGCCCGACAACATCCTCATAGACCGCGACGGCCACATCAAGCTCACCGACTTTGGCCTCTGCACTGGCTTCCGCTGGACGCACGACTCGAAGTACTACCAGAGCGGTGAGCATCACGAATAAAAATCAAGCCGCGCCAGCTCCTCGGCTCAGAAGTCGCCATCACTTTGATTTTTCAGTGTTCTTCTGTTTTTGGTTGTTGAGAAGAGCGTGTTTTATAACAAAACTGAAAAACTCATAGCTGTGCAACACCAGTGATGATGAAATAAGATATCAATCTTAACCAGCACCCATTTTTCATGTATCCGTCGTCATTTTGACCTTCACTTTGCCTGGCACAATGCTTCATGTGTACCATGTCCTTGGTAGAGTAGTGAAACCATGGTGATTACAGGAGAGATAATAAGGAGATTGTTCCCTTTCCATTTTTCAAAGGGATTGAGTCCAAAGGTCAAATAACTACATGCAGAAATCTAGGTACTACTGTTACTATTGAAAAGACTTAATTGTTCAATGTTCATCCAGTGTCCAGGTCAGGCTGTCTTTCTGGATGATGGCAATAGAAGAACAGAAACCACTTCAGTGGTTTGTTTAGTCTTTTAAAACAGTTTATATTTGCATGCTTAGTGTAGGGAGCTTGGGGATATGTCATGGAGTGCCGTTTGACCCTTCTCCATTGGGGAAATGCACCCTCCATCGCGGCAGCCTTACACTCTCTCCTCTCGGCCCAGGGGATCACGTCCGACAGGACAGCATGGACTTCAGCCAGGAGTGGGAGGACCCGGCCAACTGCCGCTGCATAGACCGGCTGAAGCCTCTGGAGCGCCGGGCAGCACGGCAGCACCAGCGCTGCCTGGCCCACTCCCTGGTTGGCACGCCCAACTACATTGCGCCTGAGGTCTTGCTTCGCACAGGTAGCAGCGAGTCACCGAACGTTAAGCCATTGTTTGCTGGTGCTTTGGTTAGTGAGGTAGCAGAATTATTTTTAAAAGTGAATATTTTTACAATAGTGATTAGTTTTTCTTAGCCTGGCAGTGATAGCACTCTCTCTGCTCTAGGTTACACCCAGCTCTGCGATTGGTGGAGCGTGGGTGTCATTCTCTATGAGATGTTGGTTGGACAGCCCCCTTTCTTAGCATCGACTCCCCTGGAAACGCAGATCAAGGTAACCGTGGCCAGAATATAAACAGCTTTGCTGCCCTGTTTGTTTAAAGGATGCGTAACATTTTTACAGGCCAATATACTGAAGCAATTTGGGTCAAATGCTTTGCCAACAGGCATTGATTTATCAGTTGGTTAGCTACTTAATTGACTCCCGTTTACCCTTAAATCATAGTAACTACCCACTGATCTGCTGATCTAATCTCAGGTGATCAACTGGCAGACTACACTGCATATACCCCCCCAAGCCACACTTAGCCCCGAAGCGTCCGACCTCATCATCAAGCTGTGCCGGGGCCACGAGGACCGGCACGGGAGGAACGGTGCTGAGGAGATCAAGGCACATGCCTTCTTCAGGACCGTCGACTTCTCCACGGACCTGCGGCAACAGCGCCAGCCAGCGCCCTACATCCCCAAGATCACACACTGCACCGACACGTCCAACTTCGACCCGGTGGATCCGGACAAGCTGTGGAGCAGCGATGACGACGGCGAGAGCAACCGCAACGACACTCTCAATGGCTGGTACAAGAACGGCAAGCATCCTGAACATGCCTTCTACGAGTTCACCTTCCGGCGCTTCTTCGATGACAACGGCCACCCTTACAGCTCCCCAAGGCCCATCGAGTACGAGAACTATGATGCCGATGACTTGGATGGTGAAGCCGCGATACAGGAGGTGCCCAACCAGGAAGGACGCCCCCATGGGGCACAGGGTCGCGACTTGGTCTTTGTATAGGCCACCTGCGTGCAAGATGGATTTGTCCATCTTGGTGTGTCTAAACGCTGGAGTCTGTCCGCTTGGGAGTCTGCTGTTTCTTTTTATAATCTAGAAGGAAAATCTACCCGTAAGTAAGTATGGTCTATCTGGTCAGCGACCTGCTGTTAGGGAGAGTTTAGTGTAATGGCCTCGGACACTGCTGCCCATCTAGAGGGTGAGGAGTGAGCCTCTCACCACCCTGCTGTTGTATTTATTATTAAAGGGTGTACAGTGTATGCCTTAATTGGGTGGCCTGACGAGGAAAATTATGTGTCTGGGTGCTTTTTATTTGAAAATGTTTCCCCCCAGAAAAGTAAGCCCCCTTTTTAAGCCTTAATTTATTTAAAGTTATAAATTGATGATTAGCATATGATGAGCATTACACTACGGATCCTTTGGTTAAAATTTGATTGCAAATGTCTTAATTTATATGCAAGGGGAAATACCAGTTTTGGGGCATGGAACGATTCAGCATACATTTGAGTGCCTTTGATCTTCTTTCTTTTACCAAATATGACAAAAACACAGACTGCCAATTGTTTAATGAGAACACTAGTTGCGGAAAGATTTAGTGGATTGTAATAGTTTATTTTTCCCTAATTTATACATATAAATGTATTTATAAATTATACTGTATAAATTTGATGTGAATAATTCTTCCCTGTCTTATGTCAGTGATACATCTCCGCAGGCCTTTTGTTCGGCTGTCATCCTAGAATTTGTTTTTCTCTTTTAAAGCTGTTTGTTCTTGCCTTTTTCCCCTTCTGCTCATCCATTCAACACTATTGTAACACTAACCCAGAAGTGGGAATTACTGTGTCCCTACACATTCCCCGTGGAACAGATGTCCTTGTCTTTGCCTCAACCAAAGTATGAAACTGTGGACTGTAAGTGACTCCTGATGTTGCCAGGAGTTTGTAAAGAATTCACATTGTGGAGGAAAGGAGCGACGCCAGGGGCAGCTGTGCATGACACTACTTCTGGGGATACCTGTTCGTTCATTCAGATCGAAGAGGACACTTGCCGTAGCCTTTGTCTCACTCTGTGTAAACCTAAGGGGTATGTCCTTTGGTCTAAATTTCTGCACCTGGAGGAGAAATGAATGTAGTTCTGGAGGTTAGGAAATGCACTACCTTTACTGTAATCTTGTTAACACGACATCCAAATGTGCTTATCTTGTGTAATTTGTTCTTGGGAACGGGGTGGAGGGAGATGACGGTTGAATAAAAAAAAAAAACGTCAAGCACAAAAAAAGTTGCATTTTTTTTGTATCCTACAGAAATCACATTTTGCGCACAGATGAATTATGATGCTTTGCATCATAACTATGGCTGCAACAACTAATCGATAACGTTCATGATAATCGGTAATAAAAAGTTGAATTCTGTCATAGATTAGGTGCATTTTTGCGGGTAGCCGCATAAATCGCGCGTAATTACGTCACCACCTACTAACGTTAACGTCAATGCGTACAATAGTTAGCAAGCTAAATATAGCGGAGAGTCGGCCTAAGACTAAAAACATCAGAAGTGTGGAATCGCTTTAACCTTCCGTCGTCAAAGAAGTCAGTATGCTGCAGTATCTACCAAACGGAAAACGGTAGGCCTACATGTTTTTGTTGTGTGCAGTTCCTTTACATCATTTTCGGTTCTGTACATACAATGAAACGAATGAATGCATTTCTTGACACGAAGGAAACTTCAAATCCATAGGAAATAATTCTGCTAACTGTGACCAGGGTTTGGTTAAGGTTAATACTGGACAGCCCAGACACTCCCACTTCATTTAAATCAGCAGTTTGGAAACATTTTGGTTTCCCAGTAAATTACGCATACACCAGAGAGGTGTAATAAGGCCTAATTAACTGTGTTGCTGGGAAACGCATCCAACATACAGACTCATCTGAGACCCCATCATCCGATTGCTTGTCCGCCCGGAGCAAGTCAGAAACAGCCTCTGTATAGTTAGTCTCCCCGTGGCATTTAAACCCATTTTGCAGGGTTGCCAGCTCTCACCTATATGGCGTGACACTCACGGTTTCGGACCACCATGCTCACGCAAGACATCTTACGGCAATTATTCCATTGTAAACCTAAAATTAGCTGCATCAAATGACCTAACAGACTATTTGCAGGCTTGTCTCGAATTGAAAATCTCACTACAGATATGCGACCATACTGTGTAGTAGATGACACGTGTTTATGGTCATTATGATTGTTGTGATGCAGTCATATTTTTGAATAATTTTACATACTGTACTTTTGGTGTGCAAATCAGCGTCTCTTAAGTTTTGTTAGATACCACGATAGACACATTGCCTTATTTTTGGTTTGTATCTCTTCCTGATTGTGTTTGCAGTTTTAACAATTAACAGTTTCAAAGCAAATTCTGTTTTCTGAAATTGCACCGAACCGTGAACCCAAAACCGAGGTTTCTGCTTAACGGTGAATTTTGTGTGTTGCTTCACCCTTATATTCTCTCCACTGTAATGTGTGACTTGAAAATACCTCTCAGTGTTTTTAAAGACTACTTACGTGTTTTAGACAGACATGCATGCATGCATGCATATATATTCAGTCCCAGGTTGGGATTTTTCCCCCCATCTAATCCATTAATTGATCGCCCGATCACATGATTAACCAGTTACCATGCAAATTAATCGTTTTTTCCAGCCGTAATCATGAGATCTTCAAATGTCCTTCAAAAGTCATACAGCGGTTTAACTGATATTCAAAATCCATTCTCTTGTTCATAGTGTTAAAAATATGACTGTGAGAAACGTTTATGTTAAAACCTAGAGCATGCAAATGTTATTGTATAACAAGTGCATTCAAGCAACATTTGCTAAAGAGTCGTGCAGTTTCGAAACTGCAGCGCTGAGCAATGGTCTCCATTTTTATTTCCTTATGTTTTTTATATTTCATTTGCAATCAGCAGCACCCCGTCGTATGTCTTTGTGAAAGACCGCGTGCCTACCGGCCCCTCGGCCCTCCGCCCCGCCGTCATCCACCCAGGAAATGACGCCTAGCTTTACTTCAAACTTCCAGAGGCGGGCGCTGCCCGCTTTTCCTTCCCTGTCTCTGCTCCTCCCGAAAGCAGGAGAAAGGAGAAAAAAATACTAAACTTTTAACGAGCGTTTCTTCGCCCGGTCGCGGCGGAAATAGCCGGCGTGCTAAGCGGGCTAGCTGCGGCGCCGCGTCCGCACCGAATGCTGCTCCGTGTCCCGCATCGTCCCCGCAACAGGTGAGCAGCGCAGCGGCTAGTTAGCGCGTCGGCTAACCTGCGCTAAACAGCTGCACTTTCGCTGTGCGTTTCCAGCCGTTTCCCAACAACACCTACTAGTGACTACAGTTGTATTCGAATATAAATCTTAAAACGCTGCAGTTAAAAGCCAAGTTTGTTTAACTTTGTGTAATAGTGTGTAACTTTTAAGATACTAAGTTAAGCCGGCTCAGCTTGTGCTGGTTACACGTAGCTTATGGTACGGCTCGGGTTACTGGTTAATTGACGCAGACAGTAGCCTTTTCTAATATGTGTCATTTTCGATCCATCTCTGTTACCAAAAGCTGACAGTTAACGTGTAGGGTTATGACCGGCTGGAAAGACGTTTAATGGTTAACTAACTACGTGTGCCAGGTAATTTATTCATTTTATGTAGTGTAGGTGGTAAGTCTTTCTACGCAGGTGAAGGTGGAGGCCTCGCTTTAATTTTGTTTTAGGGAGTTACTTCAGTAACTTTAATGACACGGTTAAGCCGGGCTGCTTTGTCATGATCCGTGGTCAGGGAGAGGCTTCCTCAGTTCACCTCCTGGGGGCGCTACATCCCGGTGGTTGCTTTCTTTGGGTCTTTACAAATTTTATTTTGTTTTTAAACCGTTAAGATTCACATCCTACGGCTGATGTGCGTCATGTTACTTTTTTCTTGGACTTCATATGTTCATTTGTGAAATGAACAAAATACTGGTTTCCGTCGACTTGCGTCCGCGTTTGGGAGTAATTTGGTCGTATCTCGGTAGTTTTAGGGCAAGATATTAAATACATTACTGTAATATACACACAGCACAGCAGATAATATAAAATTGCAGCACCTTGTAATACAAAGCTGCAGCATAATATTTTTATTGTGCAGTACGTTTTTATGTAACCAAATAGCACAGTTCAGGTACCGTATCTGTATCATCTGCTTAATGTAGCAGTCTGTCACATACACATTATTGTATGCATGCTGTATTACGAGTTACATATGCACAGTGCGTCATTTTACGGCTGGCAGCTCTGCCCATTCTGCACCTGTCACACTAAGCCAGCCTTATGAAAGGTGTGTCCCGCTAGAAAAAAGGTTAGGAAACACTGCAGTAAACGATACAGCCCCTAACGTCCTGTTATGTCCGATTTCTGGTGTCTCCCACTCAGTGTATATTATTTAGTATGGTCCTTGGACGTAAATGCGATCAGATTTTTTTCAATAGGACGCAAGTTGACGGACACCTGTAGTGTCAAATCTCACTATTATAATTTGTTCCTAAATGCTTATGGGTTAAAAGCTAAGAAGTGAATAGGATGGTTATCTGGGATATATGCATGTCTACTCCCATGGTGGACATTAAGAAACCCTCTTAAGTTAACCTTCTTAAACATGGATGTGTATGCTGCTATGGTTCCTAACATACAGCTTTCTAACAGAACCGTACTGTCTCCCCAGAATGAGTCTCCTGGAAATAAGTGAGAATGTTAAACTTGCCCGTGAATATGCCTTGCTTGGCAACTATAGCTCTGCTATGGTCTGCTACCAGGGAGTACTTGAGCAGATAAGGAAGTACCTGTTCTCTGTCCGGGACACAAGTTTGCAACAAAAATGGCAGCAGGTAAACACAGACGTTTGCATGTTTCAGCTGCTGCATGATTGCCCTTGAACTCTTTGAAAGCGATCTCTGCGGAGAAGCTGACTTGATGGCTTCCACAGACAATGGGCGCTGATGCCTGATATGCAAAATGTCCCCAGTGGGGTTTCTCTTTTATGGGAACAGCGCCTTTTAGTATTTATGCGTAACCTGTACTTCGTTTCTCGTCATCCGCAAAGATTTGGCAGGAAATCGGTGAAGAAAACAGGCACGTCCGAGAGATCATGAGGACGCTGGAGAGCTTTCAGCTGGACACCACCCCTTCCAAACCAAGCAGCCAGGATGAAGACATTTGGCCAGTACAGGTGGAACGCAGGTATGCCACTTACTGTAGGTGCCCGGTTACACTCACTTTAGTCCACTAAAGGGCCAGTTGATTTATGCGCTCTATATATTTGTTTTGTTGAACGTTAACCAAGATCAGGTGAGTTAAAAATTAGTGGTTGGGTCCTTGTCCATATATTAGATGTTTTACACGTATATGTTGATGTTTTTTTCTATCTTTAGAGTGCAATCACAGGTTACAAGCAAATAAACATATAGATTAGCAGCAATACATAAATTCTGCTACACAGAGTACCCCAGCTGTCCATACACACACACACTCACACACACACACACACACACACAAAATGGAGGACAAGTCTTGAATATGTCCATGTCCAAATCCTACTGAAAAGAGTGTTATTTGTGTGGCACCAATAGCTTCAGATTGAATCTCATGAACCAGATTAGCCCACAAGCTGGCCGTACTCGACCCGTCAGATTTCTTGCCGTTCCCTTTTTAAGCGGGTCAGACATTGTGCTCTTTCAACTCGCCGCCGCAAAGGTCGTCACCCTGTCCAGCGAGGCGGCCGCCAGTGCCCTACAGGGAGGGTAAACCGCTGAACAATCGGCTGAGCGTGGCGGCTCGGGGCCCCCACCGGCAGTCACCGCGGGGGGCCAACGGGGAACGCGCCAAGCCCCAGAAGAGCAAAGACAAGAAGGAGGTCGTGGGCAAGACGAAGGAAGACCGGGTAATGTGGATACGCCGACGGGGCCTGCTATGCCCTGGTTTAAGCGTGGCCTGCTATGCCCTGGTTTAAGCGTGGCCTGCTATGCCCTGGTTTAAGCGTTGGCTCTGTGGGTATTTTCCTGCCGTTTACTCATTCCCGGATAACTATCCATTGCTCAGCAGTCTCTGGAAGCTACCATGAAGGAACCAAAGAAAGCCAGTAGTTGTAGTTATGCAAAAAGAAGTGATAAGACCCTGGAGGGTCAAGTCAATTGAGGCTTTGTCACGCCATCCATGTACAGTAACACAGGATAAAGTGAAGTTAAATAGGTTCTCCAGGACTGCAGTGCTACATATTTTCATAGAGTGCAGAGACACACATTGACACACAATGTAAAAGTAAACAATGACAGAATGTTTAGAATGGGAAGTGATGTAAGCGGCAGAGTTGCACGTAAAGTGGTCTGTAAGAGTAAATAAATATCAGAGATAATGTTAAACAATGAATATTGGTAACAGTGACAATGATGGTGTAAATGGCAATAAAGTGACAAAGTGCTGATGGACAGCAAAATTAGCGTAGAGTCCAAATCTGTGCAGAGGGAGACGGGAAAGAGTTCAGAGTCCGGATGGCCCTCAAATGTTCCTCATTTATTTTGTCCACCGAACTCCACCTAATGTGACATTTACACAAGTCTGTCAACCTGCTGTCAGTCAGGATCTCCCTTGAGTCCTTGGATGTCCTTCGTATTTCAGAGCAAGGCCGACGTCTCCGAGACCGAGGCCAAGAAGTTTGATGGGACCGGATACGACAAAGACCTGGTGGAAGCCTTGGAACGGGACATTATATCGCAGAACCCCAACGTGAAGTGGTGCGTGGAGACCCACCGCGCATGCGACCACGTTCTCAGCGCAGGGTTGGGCTGTTTGGCGTTTTGGTAAAGCGTACATTTTCAATGATGTAGGGACGACATAGCCGACCTGGAGGAAGCGAAGAAGCTGCTGAAGGAGGCCGTCGTTCTGCCCATGTGGATGCCTGAGTTCTTCAAGGGGATTCGGCGACCCTGGAAGGTATTATGCTCAATTAATTAAATTATTAAAGTGTTTAAAAGGAAGATGGACTTGGGTTTAATGTTCATCTGGTTACTGAACCTTAAGTGTAAAATCTACATATTTCTCTCGTTCTTTCACAGGGAGTACTTATGGTTGGCCCGCCAGGCACGGGAAAGACACTGCTGGCCAAAGCCGTTGCAACGGAATGCAGAACCACCTTCTTCAATGTGTCCTCATCCACCCTCACCTCAAAGTACAGAGGGGAGTCTGAAAAACTGGTCAGGCTGCTCTTTGAAATGGTGCGTCTTCTCGGCCCGTGTGCCCTAGGCTAGGAAGTGCGGTTCGCTCATCCCGCTCCTCGGACTCCGCCGCTTTGAGGCGTCTTTGATCTGTATGTCGCCTGCATTGACAGGCCCGGTTCTATGCTCCCACCACCATTTTCATCGACGAGATAGACTCCATGTGCAGCCGCAGGGGGACGTCTGAGGAACACGAAGCCAGCAGGAGGGTGAAGGCCGAGCTGCTCATCCAGATGGACGGTAATTAGCTGGTGACAGAAGGGTCACGGCCTAATGGGGACGCCATTGTAGTTGTTTGTTAGTGAATTACTCACATTACTATTAACATTGTTAACGCGTTGTAAATCACCCTCCCAGACATGCAACATTTTGGTGTCCCGTGGCTGGGAATTCTGTGCTAGATCCAGCCTTTTTTCTGTAAAACTGACCAGGTTAATGCTCTCCAGATGGAGGGAAAAATGCTTCTTTTTTTGTTGACATCGGAACTTCTTCGGTACCTTTACACAGGGGTTGGTGGGGCATCGGAGAACGAGGACCCTTCTAAGATGGTAATGGTTCTGGCAGCGACCAACTTCCCCTGGGACATAGACGAAGCCCTGAGGAGGCGTCTGGAGAAAAGGATCTATATCCCGCTGCCCTCAGGTACCTGGCAGGCCTGCGCTCCCCGGGTCGATTTGGACCCTGCGTGCTCCCGCCTGGGATGTTTTTTTCTTCACTGACTGCAATGCCCTACTTGTCCAGCCAAGGGCAGAGTAGAGCTGCTGAGAATCAACCTGAAGGAGCTGGAACTGGCAAGCGATGTGGATTTGGCGAAGATCGGCGAGAAGATGGAGGGCTACTCCGGTGCAGACATCACTAACGTCTGCAGGTGAGCCTTCTCTCACGTATAAGGGGGGCGTTAGACGCTTTCACGTCCAGTGTGGCTTACAGCACTCAGTGTTAGTCGCGTAAAAATGGTCTGAAGGTATTTTTTTCCCCCTCATAAAAACAAAGAATGTTTGGTTGATAAATATCAGAATTGAGGAATAAAAAATGTACCAGAGGTGCGTGATATATTGGGGGGGGGGGGATCGGTCATGTGGTCTAAATACACAGGACAAATTGCATGCTGTATTTGTTCAAAATGAGAATTACAATACGGGACAATCTTGTAAAATACAGGATGAGAACTTAGCATTCTCAACATTCTGGCCTATGACATGTTTTTTAATTCATTTTTAAAGCTAGCCAGAGGATCGATCTTTCATTTTTCACAGGAAAAAAAAAAAAAACGCTGTAACATTATTCTGCTTATCAGCACTTTACACAGGTTAGCTGGTTATCAGTGTCGGTGATACTAGACAAAATATCTGTAATCCTCAAAATCTCCATATCCGTGTGCCACTACGATATATTTTTTTGTGTAAAGCTTTCTGTACACGATGATTGGCTGCAGCCGTAGACTGGGCGCGCTGGGATAGACTGGGCGCGCTGGGATAGACTGGGCGCGCTGGGATAGACTGGGCGCGCTGGGATAGACTGGGCGCACTGCTGAGGCCGTCTCCGTCTTTGCTGCCGCAGGGACGCCTCTCTCATGGCCATGCGGCGCCGCATCGAGGGCCTTACACCAGAGGAGATACGCAACATTTCCCGGGACGAGATGCACATGCCCACCACCATGGAGGACTTCGAGTCCGCCCTGAAGAAGGTGTCCAAATCGGTGTCCGCCTCCGACCTGGAGAAGTACGAGAGGTGGATTGCCGAGTTTGGCTCCTGTTGAGGGAGAGCTGGGGCGTGGGGGCTGGATTCTCCCATCCCTCCCCCCCCCTCCTCAAGGACCAAAGAAAAATGGCCGGAGGGACCAGTGGACACCAGTTAAAATGTGGACATTCTGGTAGTTGGATAGATTTGTTTTTATTTTCCCGATAGTACTTTGATAATACGTTCAGTGAGCTTGGCCCTGCTTATCATTTTAGATGGTATCTCAGACTACTTGTACGAAACACAAGCTCCTTGATTGAACTCTACCGCAGGTTTGAAGCCGTTTGAGGCGGCACAGAGTGATCGGGGTGCTCCTCAACACTCTGTGTTGAGGAGCACTTCTGCCTTCTCATGTGTCGGAGGGTTTTGTGCTGTGCTGTGCTTTCTAACCCTTGACTATACTATCCCTATTACCAAAGTGCCCACTTTGTCGTATATCAGGGTTTTACTTTATGCAGAGTGATGCCTTTCAAGGATTCCTACTATCAGATGGATTTTTTTATATATATACCTGATTTTTATAGATGACCAGATGGGCCTGTCCATGAATCACTACATAGTTCAGATGCCACAGGTGGGTGTCCAACAGGGAATCATCATAGCATGACATCTTTTATGTTTAATAAAGCTATTTAAAAGTAAATATTAGTCTGTCTTCCGTACATGAATGTGGTTTGCTGAGTGGAAGGGAGAGCGCAGCAGGATTTTCTCCATAAGTCCCTAATCACTTCTTTGGTTCTGCTAAGGCAGGAACCATAGGCTTCTGAGGCGCATCGTGTAGGACATACGGCGGCACGTGTGGCAGCAGGCCAAGTCGCCGCTCAACCCTCCCTCCGGATTATAAAGGAGAAAAGGAAAGCGCTGTAGCCGGTGTGGGAGGGGGGCCTCGCGCTCTGACCCTGGGGTCATTCTGTGTTGTCGCTCTGCATGTTCTGCTGGATCCCACGGTGTGTTGTTCGCTTCCTGCTGGGTGGGGCCACTCAGGACGCCAGGGGCCCCGGTCTATGAGGCACCCATTGTGAAGGGCCGTGCTCCGGAATGCGGGGCGTTTCCATAGCCGTCCCACTCCGTATCGACAGGGTGAAGCCAGCTCTAGTCAGCAAGTTTCTCTGTCCATTAAGCAGGCATGATATTCCTTTTAGAACAATGATGCTACATTCAAATGCTGGACTCCTATTGTGTTCTTGGTATCCTGTGCATTGTGACCTGTACAATGCTTCCATTTATTGTCCACCCGCTGTGTTTGTATTTACCAAACAGCAAAAAGCTTTGTCAGCATCAGTCCTACTGAATATATCCCTTTGACTACTGAGGGATTGGACAGTCTGTAGTGTGGCTGTTTTGACGAGGATAAGTTTCCTTTTTAATTTTCCCGGGACGGGGACATGCGCTGTGAGTCCCTTGCTGTTGGCCGCGTGCCCTAGAACATTCCCAGTGACGCGACAGAAATGCAGCCTCAGAGGTGTTAGAGAAACGTGTTTTATTTAACGGGGTTTTCAGCAATGAACAGCGGAATGGGGGGGTTTAAAACAGTCTGAAAATGTCACACACACACACACACATGCTGCCCCGCTCTGGCACCTCGCACACAAGCCGGCGTGGTGCCGCGATCGAGGCCCAGCCAACTGCAAACTTCACTTCTCTCTCGCGATTAATGCAACTGCGTCTCTGGGAATCGCTTTTGATGCGATTGCATTCCAGAGTAACTGCTGTACCCCCCCCCACCATCTACGTACATTTTAACGAGGGCACCCTAGCAAGACTTAATGGTGGATGTAACGATTTCAGTGGCAGGCGTCTCACAATTACATTCATTGCTCCTCACAGCCGGCCCCATTAGCGTAGAATCCATTATAAGTGCAAGGATTGGAACCTTCGACCTGTTTTATGGACAAAGTGCTGGGAAAGAAACATTGTTGGGCACTAGGATGATATTCATCTCAAGTCCATGACGGTGTGTATTGATTGGACGATTACCAAAGCTTTGTTAGTGTTAATCCCTTAATGTTTTATGCCTCGGCCCTTCCTCTCGGCAATATTACATACATACTGCCTCTGGTCGGGGCCTTAATGTGTGCAAATAACAGGTATCATCTGAAATACTCTTAATAGCTAGTGAATATCCATTCATCCATTGTCTGAATCCAAACTGGAATCCAAAGGGGAGCCAGTGGCCTTGACATATACAGGATTACCTTGTACAGAGTCACTTCAAATCAACATTGACCAAGCAAAACAAACAAATATACTGTCCTTTAAAATGAAAATTAAAGGTATTCTGGAGGCACGGAGATGTTACAGAGTCATATTACATACAGATACAATCTGGTGCCCTAAAATGCAAGTCTTGGTGCTTTTTTTGAGATGGAAAAGATACAAAGGAATATATATAATTTTAATTTTCTTGAGGAAAAATACTCCTCTGGAAAGGAACTTGGGTCTCATGACCATAGGATTGCAGTGAACCTCTTACAATGATGGCGGTGCCTGGTGACCTCATCCCCAAGCCCGTCCTCAGGGCTGTTTCTCCTCCTGTACGTCCACCTTGCAATTCTCCAGCAAACACTGTTCGTCCTCCTTTGGCACCAGCATCACGGGACTTAGCGTCAGGATTCCTCTGCGAGGAAGACGCAAAAAGTGAAATCTAATTTTCCTAAAAGCAAACACATCCAGCCTTTCTCAGTTGGTATAAAAGCTTCTTCCTCTCAGATGTACTATCAAAGGACTTACTTGTGGTCACAGGAAGGGAAGACCACATCTAGCATCTTGATGATGACCGCTGACCCAGCGACCCCCACCACCACGACCCACATGACCAGGAAGAAGATGGGTAGAGACTCGGCCCAGAACTGTCTCAGCTTGTCCCTCAGGTCCTCTACCCACCGACACAAAGCCTGTGGAGCACAAGGGGTTTCAGGGCACGTCCATAAAGCAAGGGGGACAAATGAACCCACCGGGGTCTGTGCAGATTGCCGGCTCACGTTGTACGAGGACAGAGACTCGGACCGGAGCGGCGTTTCAGGCAGCAGCTTGTCTGGGAGCCGGCCTTCCTCCGCTGTTGTGTCTTCCTCGTACCAGGGAGCGGGGTCCATGCGCAGGGGTGTCTCAGGTAGCTTGCCGGGGGCCGCCACTTCTTCCTGGGTGGTCTCGGCTTGTTTGAGGGGGTAGTGGCTCGTGGTGTGCAGGATGTCTTGGTCCCCCGCTGAGAAAAGGTGACGACGTACAAGTGGACATCAGTATGCAGGCCAATATGCTTTTACGGGGGAGGGCAAGTGACCTGCTGGTGCGGTCAAGAACAATGATACACCCCAGCCAAAAAAAACATCTTTGTATCACTTAGTTCTGGTGGGAGTGGATTTTCTATCAGGAAAAACACACAGTGAAGAGACCTCATATTTTCTTTTGTATTTTTTTTACTAGGATTCAATCCCCTGGTTTGAGTAATTTATTGACCAAATTTCAATATTTCCCAAAAAGTCTTTATGTAGTCAGTGAACGAGATGATTGTAAGTAATAATCTCTGGTTCTTTCCAGACATTCTGATACAATAAAAAAGCAGATTGTTTACTCTATTTTACAGTGTATTCATTTTTAATTTAAGGATTATTAATCACCCTACATACCAAAATAATAAAATTGTGCCAAGGAATACTAAAATTTATTTTATCAAAAAGTTTGTTCATTTATTGTACTGATTATTTAGAATTAGAATCCATTATTGTCACTGCATGATGGTACAATGAAAATTAGCCTGTGATACTCTTCCACAGTGTTGACAACATACAAAGAACGCAATAGATTTTCAAACAATAAATGCATAAATAATACAATTCATATAAACCTCAATATATACTCAACCCATTTAAAGCCCCTTCATCAATTGTCAAAAAAAAAAACAAAACTTCAGGTTATTGACAAAAGCTCCACCAATCGTCCCAGAAGGAGTCTAGCAGTGTATTGCCCAAGTAGAGACAAACAGCATTACCTTTTCCCGGGGAATTGGGGTCTGTCACAACCACATCGCTCTCCCTGGGAATACTGAAGAGCATGCTCTCCGGCAATGGGTACGAATACGTCGACTGTCTGAGCTTCTGGAAGTTCTTGTTCATCAGAATATTGACCTCATGCATGTCTGGCTGTTGGACCTGAGAAAAGAACATGATGCTCCCTCAAGACAACCTCACTCGCCCGGTTGACAGGGATCCCCCGTTCTTCACTCTCACTGCACTCCACGCCATGCCATGCCCGTGTCATTGCTCCTCAAAGGGGGGGGGGGGGTACAAAGTCATTTTACCTTTTTTCCCTCCACCTCAATTACTTCTTCATTGAAGACCAGCAGCTCCACCCGGGAATCACTCTCCAGGGGCCACTGGCGTACCAGTACGCGGGTCACAGCCGTCACGAAGACGCCAGGCGCGTACCTGCTACTGTTCTCACTACTGCTGTTCACTAGAACCAAGACAGGACACAAGGAGTGATACCTCTGGAATACAGTAGTGATGGAAAACACCATAATGCATATCAGCTTCACTGAAGTATAGGTCCCCAATAAATAAATAAACAAACCGATAAGCAGTATTTTGAAAAAGGTCCCAGTGAAGACACCCAAATGCAGCAATACTTACAGAGCAAAGCTTGGCAGGTTAGCCTTGTCACTCCTGACAACTTCACAGGAATGTCATTAACAAGTATTTGCTCTCCGACCACAGATATGTTAAAATTTATCTGGAAATAAATAAAATAAAGTTATTCACTCAAAAAAAAACATGTACAATATACAGAACCCGCCTACCCCCACAAACTCTGTAAGACTTAAGATTAAAAATCCCTACAGTATGCTAGGAGTTCCAAAATGGACGATGAATGAAATGACACGACGTACCTGGAGTCTGTGCGTCTCCTGTCCTGAATCCCCCACAGCGGTCACATTGATAAGGATGTTTTCCTATGTAATAAAAATGGACATGAGGGTATTTTTAATGGAGGAGAAAACCGTTTCCCCACATGTTTTTCTTAGCAGTCAGGCAGGGAGTCTCATAGATAACAAATTCACATGTCTGTCTCTGACACATTTAAACGTCATGATTTAACTTAAACGTATAGACCACAGTATTTTACTTTATTAAGTATACATAGCTACAAGCAGGTAAGACATTAATTAATTTTAGCCAAAGCGATGTGCAAATGAGGCAGCAGGGTCCAGCAATTCCTGGAGCATCCTGAGCCTTGGTCAGGGGCCCAACAGTAAAATCACCCTGCTAAGCATGGGATTTGAACCAACAACCATCTGATCACATGCACAAAGTCCTAACCCACAGAGCCACACTTCTGCTTCCAGAACAGCTTCAGAGAGGCCATGTTGCCCCCTATTTTCTACTGAGCAGTTACATTTACGCTTGAGGGCTTTCCTATTAGATTTAATGAGTCTGGCCATTATCTAACCTCTCTCATCAAGGCAACTGGTTGTTTTTTGTTCATCGCACTGTTCTGCAGACACAGGAGGGTGGCTGTCTCTGACATGCTATAATCACAACGTATGGCACCATCACATTCAAAAACCAACTTGGCCATTATATTGCATAATTTATCAGCAAATGAACCGCCTGACACAGTCCGTGTGCTCCATGTGTTTAGTGGCATCCATTCCCTGTTTGGATTAATTAGCTTTTTTGCGTTAACCAGCGAGTCCACCAAACAACATCTGCCATTTACAGCGACTATTAACCACCTGACTATTCCGTTTCCCAGTCGTCATCACCCGAATAGAGACGTTTTAAATACCTAACCTTCAGTATCCTTCCTGTGTACAGCATGTGCCTACTCTTTAATCGGGGTTATTATAATCGGGACTGCCGTCCATATTCCTGTTACTGTACCTTTAGCTATAAGGGAGATTATTTTAGATACAACAAATTTAATAAGATGGCTGATGTCAAATAACGAACAGGTTTCACTGATTTCCTAATCTTACAATGCATGGTCATTTTCCTCGGTAGCCAGTGTCTCGACGAGCTTGTTATTACGAGCTGGCTGATAAGTGGGAAATTGAGCAATTCCGGGGTTCCCGGCAATGGCACCACCTGCCCGTCGCCACCATCCGCCCAGGCGGCGATCGGCGTCTGCGGCGTGTCAGCGCTCAAGGGCGGCCGAGGATCGGCGCCCGCGCCTCGGACGCGCGGCTGCGGGCTTTCGGGGGAGCCGTTTACTGACCTTGTCCAGCTGTCTTGAGGCCGCGTCGGCCGAGCCGAACAAAGCGAGCAGTAAGGAGCAAGCGCACAGCGACAGGCACCGCGCCGCCATCTTGCCACGATCGGACTGTTTACATCCCGACTGACGCCTTCTGGGTGCTGAAGGAAATGGGCGTCTGGATGCGGCGGCCAAGCCTCCATGCTTTTACTCTAATAATAGGCACATTAATAACGCATTAATGGCCATTGTACAAAGCATGTCTTGAAATATTAATATATGCCCAGAGTCAGTTTTCATTCCAATATAAAATGTATAAGTTTTTTTTCATGTTACAATACCTCACTTTATTATTATGTTATTTATAATAACAAGCAACAACACACTGTAATTTCATTAAATAGCAGGCAATTCGTATTTTCCGATCATTTTAAATTTAGATTTAATTCAAGAATGCCTATTATATGACATTTAGGCGTATACGTATCCCTGGCAAACAGTAAAGGCTTTTCTGTGCCTCGTTTCGACAGCTGGATGTTTTAAGCTGCGAGTTCAGTTTTCCGATTTATTGATTATGTAACGTTTCTTGGGTTGGGGAAAATGTTTGAATAATATAATACACAGGAAACGTGTACACTAATAATTTGAAAATACGGAAACCATGAATGGTGAATGCTTCCTTTCCATGTAATTCACTAAAGCTCTTCCAGGAATCAAGTTTAACTCGTACTAATACGCTTGCTGAGCCGGACCTGGGTTATTCCCCAGTTGTCCCAAACCACAACAGACGTGTATTTCGGATTTTACTGCAGTATGGAAATATTTAAATAATGCTGGAATTCCCGGGCGCTCATAGTTTAGGGAAATCGATTCATTGTAGGGCCACACTCCCGCCCGGTAGGTGGCACTGTGCATCCTTTCATTGATTTTTATCCCAAGACGGAGTTTAGGACTCGTGCTTATGATGTCATCTTTAAGAGCCGCCACTTGCTGTTTGCGTAAGAATGGCGGTGCTACTTGAAACGACATTAGGTGATATCGTTATTGACTTGTACACAGAAGAAAGGCCGAAAAGTAAGCAAGCGTGTTTGGTTTTTCTCATATAATATTGATAGCTAGGTGACTACGTGCTGGCATGGTTGTATAGCAAAGGTTGTTTTTTTCTACAAGTGCGTTAGTTCGACAGTGGTAGTAAATTATGTACAGTATTAAAATTGCTAGTGAAATATCCATTGTCATTTATGAGAAATTAGGTTTTTTTTTGTTGGCACGATCTATCATACAAAACGTACTTGTACATCTTCTAGATAGGCCGAAATGCCTAAGCAGCATACTCCCAACTCCTATTGGTTATGATTACTACCTGGTTTGTTTCATTACTTCCTTATGAATAATTATTTTTGTGGCTTTTTAGTATATTGCTCTTATCTTTTTCTTATTTCCCTTTTCAGCTACCCTGAATTTCCTAAAATTATGTAAAATAAAATACTATAACTATTGCCTCGTCCACAATGTTCAGGTAAATGAAATGAAACTCATAACGTACTGTCTAGTTAAATAGATAGTTAACAGTTTAATATAATTATTGTTATTCATGTTTGGTGTTTTGTAATCTTATAAATCTCACCCCCCCAGAGAAACTTCATTATGCAGACTGGAGACCCCACGGGGACTGGACGAGGGGGGGAGTCCGTTTTCAGGTCTGTGTTTATCTACGTCTTTGTCTTGCAGACATCAGCTGTATGGCTTTCAAGTTAATGGGAGAAATTATTTCCTTTTTCTTCAGCAAACTCTATGGGGATCAGGCATGTTTTTTTGATGCAGAGAAGGTTCCAAGAATCAAACATAAGAAGAAGGGAACTGTATCTATGGTGAACAATGGCAATGACCAGCATGGTTCTCAGGTGACCTGAACTCGGCTCACAAGAGGCATAAATTCAGTTTGACTTTATTGTCATTATAGTATACAGAGGAACATTATATAACGAGAAGTGTCAATATTCTAACAATGATGAAAACGTTGAAGTCATTAATAATATACAATATATCGCTAAGGTATTGACCTATCAGTTCCTCTGTTGATTAGTTCCTCATCACAATGGGTGAGAACTTGGATTACCTGGATGGGGTTCACACCATATTTGGAGAAGTGACTGAAGGAATGGACATCTTGAACAAGATAAATGAGGCTTTTGTGGATCAGAATTTCATCCCCTTCCAGGATATAAGGTTTGTGTGAACAGAAGCTAAATTGAGCTGTTGTGTCTACACTGAGTGTAGCATATTTTGGATATTCTTAATTAAGCTTAAGGCTTCTGTAGCATACCATTGTAGTCTTTCCTAAGTTTTGTATTCTGTAATGCCATTTAAATTAGTCTATTTTCCGACGGATTCAGAGAGCGCTCACTGAGTACTAAGCCTCCAGTCTACACCTTAGGTTTGTCACATCAGTGTTTTTTTTGTCTTGCATTTACAAATGTACATTCAATGGACTATTAGTCTACCATGTGACCTCTCAATTAGTGACTGTACATTTATTTCCAATGGCTTGTTTTAGTGTCAGTGTTTTGTACCATGTGTGTGGCCGTATAGTGCCATAAGACAGTTTCTGTGTCATCTGCTCTCTTACAGAATAAACCACACTGTCATTCTCGATGACCCTTTTGATGACCCCACTAACTTAGAAATTCCAGATCGTTCACCTGAACCAACCAAAGAGCAGTTAGATGTAAGTGATTCCATAACGAGCCACGACAGACAAGCAGTCTGTGTAACTTCACAGCTTAAAGTTTACAGCTTAAAGTTTGCAGCCTGAGGAATGTGAAGTAAAGGATTTCATCCTTACATATTATCTTGCTGTTTGAATGGTTCTGTGTAGTAGATTTGAAATGCTTAAACATATGGCGCTAAACCTCACCTTGTCCTCTCTGGCCAGAGTGGGCGAATCGGAGCTGATGAAGACATAGATGACACGGAAGGGAGGACTGTAGAGGAGCAGGATGAGTTGTTGAAGGAGAAAGAGGCCAAGACTCAGGCTGTCCTGCTGGAGATGGTAAGGAGGGAATGATTGGAGACCATGCTGATGTTGTATTCAGTGAGCCAGGTTATCTAACCACAAACCAGTGAGGAAGCAAGACCACTGTGCTTAATAGTAACCTGATATCTCAGGTCTCTTAAGCACAAGGAAAGGAGGAACTCGTCCTGTTGCTGGGGGATGATCTTACTGATGCCCACAGTATGTGGAGCGTGTGGTTGATTGCAGGATATAAGCATGATTGAAGCACTAATACAGATGATGTTGGGTTTAGCGAGGGTTCACTGTATTAAATAAGTTCATGGTACTTATTTACTCACTGCTTTATTTGTTTGTTTATTGTGTGGGGCATGATAGTTGTATTGGGGTTTCATTTTGTAATGTATAACCAGCCCCAGATAAAGTTCTTACATGTGTTAACAATCAAATTTCACTTGTTCCACGTGTACCAGGTGGGTGACTTACCTGATGCTGATGTGAAGCCTCCAGAGAATGTGCTCTTTGTGTGCAAGCTTAACCCGGTGACCACAGATGAGGACCTGGAGATAATCTTCTCTCGCTTTGGTTCCATCAAGAGGTGAATACTGCCGCTAGGGTGAAGCTCCAAGTGTTAGGGACACAGTATATAGATACGGCTTATGGAAATGGCTGAGGGATGGTCTTTGTTAGGGTTCATGCAGTCACTTTTTAAACCCTTTTAAATTGTGTGTGTGTGTAGCTGTGAGATCATCAGAGACTGGAAGTCTGGGGACTCTCTCTGTTATGCCTTCATTGAGTTTGAAAAGGTACGATGGATTTTTCTTCCTGGCTATTATGATCAAAGTATTACATTTGACTTGCTAACATACTGATAAGAGCTGATTAGAATCCCCCTTTACGCCGAGGCAGTACGTGTATATGTGGTCGTTGAGGTCCTCCAGTTTAATATTACTTGAATCTCCATGTCTTTCCCTCCCCCCCCAACAGGAGGAGGACTGTGAAAAGGCTTATTTTAAGATGGACAATGTGCTCATCGATGATAGAAGAATTCATGTCGATTTCAGCCAGTCAGTTGCCAAGATAAAATGGAAAGGAAAAGGTTACCCCCCCCCACCCCATATATTTCCTAATTTCACAAGTGCCATCGATGAAAATTTGCTTTCTAATAATTTCTTTGTTTTTAGGGGGAAAATACACAAAAGATGACTTCAAGGCATATGAAAAAGACTTGGAGAACAGAGAGAAACTAGCTATTAAGGACAAGCACAAAGCTATGCAAGAGTATCCTTTTGCCCTTAAAGATGGAGAGGGAATTCTGTACAAGATGTAGTGTTATACATGTATGTTTATGAAATACTTCTGTTATGGGTTTATAGCATCTTTGATGGCACCTGTCAGAACCTGGTGCCTGGTGACACAACACAGGAATGTTCTACTCCAGAATAGCGCAGCACGCTGGTTGGCTTTTACCTCAACATTGCCTGAAGCTCCAAGTACGAGCTGCTTTCAGACGAAGACGAGGACGGGGGAAGCCATCGGCATTCTGGGAAAAAACACAAAGAGAAGAAACGTCATCATTCTGATGAGGAGGATGGCAGAAAGTCCAAGAAACCCAAGGTTGAGAAAAGCCGTCTGAGCTTCCCGCCTGTGGAGGGAAGGATGAATTGTGCAACCAAGCTCACTGTAACTGAGAACCATGAGGCAGTACCTAGGAAAAATGCACAGTGTGACTGAGCTGAGGTTTTATTTCTGTAATGATCATTGCAAAATTAAGGAAGAGAAACTAGACCTATATTGTGGTGTGACTGTCAATCTGGTTGCTGGGGTGGTGGGTATTTTTGTTGGTTGCCTGTGTTGATTATGCTGAAAATTTAAGGGTGATTTTACACCTTAAATATGAGGCGGTGTCTGTTTATCTTCTGGAGAAATCGACGTTTTGGTGAGACTTTCTCACCCATCAACTAGGATACCAGCCTGGATCATAGGTTAGTGGCTGTAAAAGCTGGATTTCCTTAGCTACTAAGTTACTGTGTTCCTCGGGTGTGGAAATGCGTGTGCTTCTGTCGGCTCTTCAAACTTCACAGGAACTTTTGTATGGGAGAAGGTCTGGAACTTTTGAGACAAACCACACCAACTTGGATAGATGCAGAGCTGGTGAACTCGATTACATTAATACAAGTCACTCATAGTTTGGCCCTAGAGGAGGGCCGAGTGTGTAGGGGAGCTACAGATCGGGGGGGGGGGTGGATGGAGGTGGGTGTAATGCATCATCTTTCCAACAGCATGTAGTTGTTATTAGGTGTCATCTAGACTTGTGAGGCCTTTTTGATGGTATTTCTGGGTCTGTAGGTTCCCAGCGACATGTTCACTCCTGTGATGATTGAATCCAACCACCTTGTCTCTGGTAGCCGTTAAGTACAGGGGACAAATGACCTCTTTAAAGCTGCAGTCTGTCTACCCGTGATTTAAGCTGGAATGGGGAAGCTTGTTATCAATTTCCAGTTCCATGCAGGAGGAGCTAGAGAACTTCCGACTGGACGGAAAAAAAATATCCCACGGGCTGTCTTTGTCACCGCGCAGGACAGCGAGGACGGCAGACGTGAGCGAAAGGCCGGTCGACAGCGCTCTCGCTCCAGAGATCGGGAACGACACGGGCAGCACAAGCACAGCCGGGACCGGGACCGGCACCGGCAGGAGAGCCGAACCAAGGGCCACGGGTACCGGGACCGGAGCAGGAGCCCCAGGGGGTCCAGGGACAAGGACCGCCGCCGGCAGTGATGAGTGGATGAAGAGGACTGGGAACGGAGGGCAGTCCATTTACAGAAACTGTCTCGCTGGTGCCGGATAACATTCTTCATCAGATGGACTTGTGTAATAAGAGTGTTCCTAGCATGTGAGTGGTTCATTATGCCCTTTTAATTAAATTCCCTCCCTTTTTAATTGTTAAACCCATGGCTTAATCTTCGCTGTCCCCCATCTAAGCTGTTGATTGTTACAGATAACATTAAAGCGTTCATGATGAGTTGCGTATCTTACCAGCTACAGGAAGTGGAAACCATATCTTAAACGCAGTTTATCGGTATTATGATGTAAGGTTTCTATACTCACTTCGCAAACACCTACTGAAATTACTGTTTAACATCGTTTACTAGTCATTAGTTCCTTGTTTTTCTCTTAACATCCCTATGGTCGTTATTTGCTGTCGAAATAGTTTAAACCACCTCATCCGTTCCTCCTCTCAGCTCTTGGTTCTTGGCGCTTTTTGTGGCTGTTTGTACGGTTTAATGAACATGAGGCCCAGGGATCCCAAATCTCTCATTAATCTCTCCGCCATGACTTTTTCATAAACTCTTATCGCAAATAGTAACATCTGATTGGAAAGATCAGGCTGCAGATTAAAGAAAGTGGTGTGCGAATAGCATCATTGTGTCGTTATATTGTTCTGCATGGCATGTTTTACGGAAACATCTGGAAGAGCTTCATTGTGTGACCTGCGAAAGGTTGTCGCTTCATTGGGTAGGTTGGGTTACCCATTTAAGAGATGAGGGTTCTGACACACAACTGTGAGTTTAAGGCTTTATATTCAGCGCTTGGGGTCCTGATTTCTCTTTAGGGCATGAAATTGGGCCAGGCGTGGGATTAACCATCGGGGGGGGGGAAAGGGTGGGGTGTGGATTAGTGGGTTAGGCCTCTGTGACAATGTTCGGAAGGTTACCGGTTTGAGTCCCATCTGGAGCAGAATAGTCACAACTGCATTGGGTTTATGAAGATGGTCCCTGACCCAGCATGCTCCAGGAGTGCGGGATAAATGCCTTTCCCTGCACTCGAACCCCAGACTTTGCTCTCAACTGTATATATAGCACTGTGTATAAATCCTAAGCAGTCAAAAAAATGTTTGAATGATCTTTATGTTGGTGTAAAATTGATATGGCTGTTAAAGCATGTCAGCTTAGCCATTTCAGCAACTGTCTGGTGTACCCACGTACGTCCAACACACCTCTCATGACTAATCAATACCTCAGTGAATTACTTAAATTAATCAAATGTGCTAATGATTAAATTTAACGAATACAATGAATGACGAGCGTGTCTGAGGAGAGGTTTGGGAACAGAAGCCGCGTTACAGCCGACCAACCGGTAACTTTGATGTGTGTGTTCAAATGTTAATATGATTTTTTCTGAGCAAATATACACTTATCACCCAGATAAATATCCTTAAACATTTTCTTTGACTGCCTAAGACTTTTGCACAGTGGGTTTGCTTCAAAGGAAAGAAAGCAGGGAAATGTGAAAACATGCTTTCCATTGCACTTGTGCAAATGGCAAATGAAGCATCATCCGGGACCACGACCCCCCCCCCCCCCCCCCCCCCACTGCAGCCGTTAGCAGGGGTGCCTCCCTGTATTTAACATTCTGCTAGTTGTTTCCGTGAAATGCGACTTCCTGGATGAGGGTGATCTCCTCGTTGCCCCCTCATGTTTCCTCAGGACACAGACAAGTTCTGAGAAACAGGCTCCGCAAATAGAAGTCGTGAAAGGTGAGGATGCTGCGAGTGGGCGGGACCATGAAGGATGTAGGCTTGAGGCTTGTTATTCTGGCAGCTTTTGTTGATTCTGAAACGAGGCCTTTGTGGTGTGGCGAGGGGAGAGACCTCGCACTGCTCTGCACCCACGCGTCCCAGTGCCTAGCGAGTCTGCCGCTCACCTGCTAGCGTAGAAAAAAAAATATCGTAGGACAGCAGCAGCAGATGTGCTCATCTAATGGGATTAAAATCTGGGCCTCGTCAGTAAATGCATGAGGGTCCTTTGATGGGAGCGACGGGCTGATTAATAAGCGTGTCAATCACGTCGTCGGCATTAAATAGCAATGAAATGGGAGCCTGAAATTTCTGCCGTTTGGTGTTGAAACAAAAACGAAACTTCTGCTGTGACTGTGCAGTGATTCTGTGGCAATGATAGGACTCTTGCTGTACACAGTCTGGTCAGAGATTGCTCATTTGTCCACATTCAGTGTGGAAGAGGCCCACTTCTAGGGCGAAAGTACTACAGCAACAGGAGTCATGAGGTTAATAATAATAATACTAATGAATACTTTATTGATCCCCGTGGGGAACTTGTCTTTATGCCTCCCTCAACTCACTCTTTGTGTAATACATTGTCAAAGGGCAGCCACCCATAGCACCACCAGAGGAGCTGGGGGTTAAGGGCCTTGCTCAAAGGACTGCAGACATGCTGAGGCTGGGTTTGAACCGGTGACCTTCTGACCTTCTTAGCCCACTGAGCCACACGCTGGTTCATGTTGTGGGTCTCTGGAAAGGCACCAGAATGCTGCCACAGACCATGTCTCACCTTCTGATATGTTCTTGCACCGTTGGGAAATGTGTCTTTTGTGCTGTATAATCTTCTGTTTACTGGCAGCGTACAAACATCTTTGGGCAAAGACAATACAGGAAGTATTTTTCAACGAGATGTTTCCTCTATTTGGTTACCACAATTGCGAGTGTTTGTTGGATTTTGCAGGTTCCTGTACCCTTCCAGCAGTTTGTTTTTTTTATCAAGATTTGAAAGCAAGATCACGCGATTAAGGCTCTATGTGTACTAAGATGCACCCTCAATACAGAATCAATAAAACTGCATATCCTTGGTATGAAGGTTCCAGTTTTGGGGCAACAAAGTGCAAAAACATCTGACAGCTACTGCTAATACAGTCTCACGAAGGCAAAAAGCAGTAGCTTCACTGACAATGAATGTAAGAAAGAGGCCTTCAGATTCTGACTGTCCGCCTACATGTGTAATAGGTAGGTAAATGATTGTGTTTTCTATAAAACCCAATCAAACCAAGATATTTTGTCACAAGATAAAACAGAGCCTGAGACACCCAATTTCGGTTGTAACTCACTTTTGATAGAATACTCAGTCAGTGTTTTGCCTTCGTACGGCAGAATAAGGTTCAAATGCAACTAGATCTCACTGATGCAGTCAGGGCATCGATGAAAAAACATGAAAAAAGAATTGCGAGCAGACATCTTGAGTGCGACTGATTTATCAATCCAAGAACACAGAGGTGATTATTTTTTTTGTCTGATTCTAGTGCACAGGAAAACCCTGTAACTGAGTGGGCAGAGGAGAATATTAGTGTAACCTTTACATATTGAAAGTGAGAAGAACCCCCCCCCCCAGCCAAGGATGATTATATAAATGTCAATTACAGGGAAGTCTTCAGAGAGACGTACCCAGACTCAAGCCTTGTTGTCACAGAACAGCGTTATCTAAGTAAATATCGGCCTGCGGACTGGAAAGTGTGTGGGAGGGATCTCTTTTGGTTCGGGGAGAGACTCTTGGCCCTGCGTGAGTGGAGAGGGGGGTGTCGCGGTCGGCCTTGGCTTCCCCTCCATTTGTCTCTCTGTTTGTGGAAACTTGTGCACATGGGATGTCCCCGGCTGCCCCCCCCCCCATCCGACCCAGCACCGCAGTCTGGTACGACATGCGCAGTGGATCGACCGGTGAGCCTGTTGTTGACATCTCGAGATGAGCACCCTGGCGCGCTCGGGTTTTATACGCCAATCCAATGCGATGTTATCGTCAACATCGGGCTCAAATCCAGAAGAGTCTGGTGCAAAAAAAATGTCCTGGGGAAATGTGATGTCGTTCGACATTTTAACAATCCCACCATGTTAAAATCCAAATATGCAGTTCACGACAAAAGAGGAAACATCCATCCATTTTCTGTAACTGTTTGTCCTAATCCGGCTCCAAAGGGGTTTAGAGCCTATCCCAGAGGTTATGGGTGCAGAACAGGAAATAACCCAGTATGGGGTGCCAACCCATTGCAGAGGACACACACACCATTCAGTAACTCCAATGAACCTCAGCATGTTTTTGGAATGTGGGACCCTGGGGTACCTGGAGGAAACCCCACAAGGACACGGGGAGAACATGCAAACTCCACACCGAACCCTGTTCACGTAGGTGTGAGGCAACAGAGCTAATCACTGTGCTACCATGCCGCCCAGGAAGAGTAATAATAATAATGAAATAATGAAATGATTCTATTTTCAGGATCTTTTCAAACAAGTGCAAATATAGCAGTCACCCACGGGATCTGCAGTATTTGTCAGCATCTGAGAATCAGCCCCTCTGCCCCATCAATGATTAGAGGCCATGTGATCGATTTGAATAAGCGGGCTGGCGATGACATCATCGCCGCAGCACGGTGACCCACATGCAAAGCAGGCAGACCTGATGTAAATGTGCACATCATTATCCTGCTGCACATACCCACCAAAGGCGACCGAGTGATGGGGGGGGGGGGAGCTCTAGGGAATTATGGGAAGAGTCCTGCAGCTAGACTTACCGCCCCGCAAGCTGCGCAGGCCAGTGTTTCAGACAAAGCTGTCGCTCGCTGTTATACATTTAGCTTCAGCTAAGGAAGCTCATTGTTCTGTCAGCTGGGAATAGCGCCGGTAAACAGAGTCCTGAAGAATCTCTTTCTAATTTTAGCTTAGCCTCAGGCTGGGTGAATAGATGTCACTGCGCCATTAAATGGTAATTCTTTGTTGGCGGAGAATGCGTGTGTCATCCAGCGAGGCACCCAGGAGGGAGACGCCCGTCAGGATGGTGGCTGAAGGCTTCTGGAGGGCCCCCCCAACAAGGAAATGCAGCTGTACTGTAACTGAGCTGCTCACTGCTCGTGATTGAATAGACTAAGTACTTACTGGACTTCCTCCTATGACTCAGGCGATAAGCGAGACTCACAGGCTTTCAGTGCGAGCAGTGCAGTTCACTCGCGCTTAGAGTGATCCTTCAGGCAGCTCCACGCTCCAGCCGTCAGCTCCCCGGTCGTAAGTAGGAGAGGTTCGTGTCCACCGATCGCCAGCAAAGGTCACACTGCCGTTTGCCATCTGCGGGGGCTTGTCCTGTAACTTTTAGGGTGTAGCACTTTGGTGAGTTTCTGTTCGTAATGTCACTTTGATGACAGTGGTTGCACTGGGGGTAATGTTCATTAATGTTCATAGGCTGGTCATTTCCTGTAACTCACACTTATGGCTACTAGTGTCTGTTTTTAGCCTTTTGGGAAAAATTGCATATCTACTGCTGCTGTGATTTGCCTGTGCTGCCTTTGCGTGGGGGTGTGAAATCTTTAAGAGGCCTTGGACATTGTGCTTTGGCTTTTGAAGCAAAATACTACATAATTCTATTGGTAGCTCTTTTGAAGAGCATAAGACAGTTTAGTACTACAAACACTGCACTTTAATACAGAGAAGTTAATATTTTAGACATTAACTGTACAGGGAACTGAAATGACAAGTCTATTTCAATATTCAAACCCAGCTCCATATTTGCAGTAGAAACTTAAAACAAAATTCATGAAGACCTTAAACCTTGAACGGCTGAAGGAGTATAAGCAGTAAGTCTGTTGTTGACATTTTAAGGTGTGTCCACGTTCTGAGGGTCTGTTACTCTGTGACTGCTGTCCCTCTTGCTGCTTTGGCTTCCACACGTATGGCTCGATTGACATGGGCCTGGAGACGTGCTCGCGGTGCTCAGCTAATTTGCAAAGTCAGAACCTGAACTCCAGCTAAGCCGAGCCAAGCCATAGCTGAACGATGCTACAGTTTACAACCGGATGGGGCAGAAAAAATACCACACAGGTCATATTGACAAAAAGAAACATCCTTGACATTTTTGCCTAATTGTATACTTAGAGAAACTTGATGAGTCAAAATCATGAGTTGGGGATTTAAAAGGGTACAGCAGCCTTTCAGACTGATCACTCATATTTACCGCAGCTTTGAAACACTACTGGAACTTGAGGGGTTTTCCGGTCCCCTCCTTGAGGGAAATAGTCAGTGAAATGCACATGCACTGTTGACAAACCCTGGGGGGGGCGGTTCGACCCTTCGAAGACTGACTGCTTGTGTTTGCGAAAGGCCAGTCTGGTACGCTGGGGCAGCTACGCACACGCAGAAGCAAGTGGTATAACAGGCTAATTATGGTCACAGGTGTTAGTGACGCCAGCAACAACCACGGCTTATTAAAATAACCCAGAAACAGGGGCTCTAATTGGACCTTTTGAAAAGCCCCCCCCCCCTTTTCATCTTTGCGGCATGAAGCTGGGGCTTTTGGTGACAGTGACGCAAGTGTGCATGTGTGTGTGGCTGTGTTGCTCACCGGCTGCAGTGCTCTGATCGTATCGTCGCGCACAGAAACCTCTGAAAACCCCTTGTGACACCATCTTGGGCTTCCTGTGTTTACAGTGTCTCTGCAAGGCCAACCACCACCTGCATAGCCCGGCCCCCTCCACAGCGTCAACTTTTCCAAAGCCGGCTGTTGCCGTGGAAACTCGCGCACGTGGACAAGATAGAAAAGGGCAGCGAGGCGGGTCCTCTGGTGACAGAAGGAGCTTAGGAGGCGAGGGAGGCGCAGCTGAAGAGGCAGAGCCATGGACAGACAGCAGAGTAACGTGGAGCGCTTTCTCAAACTCGGCTACGCCTACGGGGACATCCTGCGTGTGCTGGAGAACATGCACCACGACGCCCAGACCAATGACATCCTGGAGGAGCTGCTGAAGACCAGCCGCTCCGCCAACCCCTCGCCCCCTGGCTCCCGCACCAGCAGTCCCCAGCTGGTACCCAGGGGGTGCGGCTCCCCTCAGCCGCACCAGGAGGACACGGGCGGTAGCGCCGGTCTCCGGCCCATCGTCATCGACGGCAGCAATGTGGCCATGAGGTAAGGGTCCTGCCTCCTTTTTTGAAGACGTTCACGCGGTAATTAACAGCAGCCCAGCGCCAAACCCCCAGCAAAGGCAGAACTTAGCACTTCTGTCCCCTCATAAGTGCACTTTGGAGTGTTTTAAAAAAAAAATTAGTCAGTGTAACACTAAAAGGATGTTAGGGTAGCAAACAAATTGGAGGGTGAATTTTAAGCGAGCTTGCCTGCCATCCAGCTTGTCTGCGACCGTAGCTTTGAGTGACGGTGTCTGCCTTTAGGAATGCTTTTAGGTCAGCTTTCTCGAAACGGGATGAATGAGGGAGATGATTGCTGTGGAACGTAAGGGCAGAGACCGGAGTCAGGCTGTCTTCAGCAATCAGGCTCTGCGGGATTGCAGACGGAATCATCCACGCCTGCACCATGCTATGTGTCTTCAGAGCTCCCACTGTCTAACACCTGGGGGTTTACTGTAGAATGTCTGACTTAAGTCTGGGTCAGACCTGTAAAACAACCGATATTTATCAGCCTAGAAGTTGGAGTAGCTTCCAGAAGTGCGAAAGGTCATTTTGGGGGAGAGGAAATAAAAAAATACTACTTTTCAGTGTCTCTTAGCGTAGCAAAGGAAGGCTGCTGGCAACTGAGCCGACGGTGGAATATTCAAATTCAGTGATGCAACTGAAACTGAGAGAACAAGAAACAGAAGCTGGTTTCTTGCAGATTATTCTTTTTCAAAACACTTTGCCGAGAAAGGGAACCAGCTCTCTATGGCTTCAAAGCTGGATGCCGGTCCTTATGTGGTTACTGCACTGCAATGTTTTTCTTAAAACTGTCCCGTGTGCGTGGTCGAGTCTCACTCTAAACGGGCAGTGAGGCTGGTGCAGTGCGCTCTCTGCAAAGTGGTCTGCCACTTCCTGCTGGAGCAGGCCAACCGAGGGGAAACCCCCCCCCCCAGAGCAAGTCGTTCTTGCTGCCTGTGACCTGAACAGCCGTTTGCCAGTGTTGCTTAGGTCTGTGATCCATCAAGAGCCTCGGCCCGCTCTGGGAAACAAACACCTGCCACAGCGCTCACTCGCCAGAAAACCCGCCAGTGACTTGCTTTACAGAATAAGGCGTGACTTCCAGCTGCAATTAATTCCTGCTGTAGTTGTGCACAGACACGTACTGAGGGCAAATCATACGCACAAATCTTGATTTCGTTTTCATGTCTGCGTTGTTTGTTTTTAAATCAGGGCTGCTCCTTGGGTTGAATGTTAAAGGCAATTCTGAGCAAGATTCTGGGGAGGGGAAAAAAAAGGGATAATGAAATCACATGACCTGGAGGAGTTGAGTCAGTCAGCCATCACTTCCTGAAAGGGAGAGATGGACAGGCACCTAAGAAAGTCGGGGATGTGTGTGATCTTGTCACTCTGGGTGGAGGCACTGCTGAAATGTCTATCTGCAGTTGTGCTGTTGCATTTCCCTGATTCCTACTACAGCTTACACTTTTTTGGCAAATGCTTGTTTCCCACGGGGGGGGGGGGATTGTGTGAATCCACCGCGTCACAAAGCACCTACAACGGCGGCGCCTCTAATCAGGTCCGCCCTCTTTCATTACAGCCATGGAAACAAGCAGGTGTTCTCTTGCCGCGGGCTGCAGTTAGCAGTGAAGTGGTTCTGGGACAGGGGTCACCGAGACATCACCGTCTTCGTGCCCCTGTGGAGGAAGGAGACGCCCAAGCCAGACACTCCCATCACAGGTAGCTCAACTTGCCAGAAGATAATCAACTTACCGACAACGCTGTATAATGAAATAGGTTTTCCATTAACAAAAAGCAGCCCGGCTACCTCACCACCTTAGGTGCAAACAAGCTGCGATTACCAAGAACACAATACACCCAACCCCTCTGTTACCGACCATATGCAAATATGACCAGATTACAGTATGTTTGCCTGACAGCAGCGCACAGAGTGAGAGAGCCCTTTGAAGAAAGTGCCAAATGTTAAAAATGTAACAATGAATGACTGAAAAAGTCATAAGTACAGTCGCGGTCACGACCAGGTCGTTGAAACGGAACTCAGTCGTTAAATGAGGAGTGGTTGCAAAGAATTGACATTCAAGTGCTAAATACCCACTCACACGCCTGTAGGGCTGCTATTGTTACATCATATTTTCTGGTAATTCTTGAACCTGACACCCATGTCCCATGACAGACCAACACATCCTCTACGAGCTGGAACAGAGAAATATCCTGGTTTTCACACCATCGCGCTGCATCAATGGTAAGCGGGTGGTCTGCTACGACGACCGCTACATCGTCAGGCTGGCCTTCGACTGCGGCGGCGTCATCGTGTCCAATGACAACTACCGCGACCTGCAGACCGAGAAGCCACAGTGGAAGAAGTTCATCGAGGAGAGGCTGCTGATGTACACCTTCGCTAACAACATGTATGTCCAAAATAATATCCTGTTATACACTGTCAAAGTCATCACCTTGATTATCAATTTACATAATAAAGGAATCCTGTTGTTGTCAACGCAAGACGATACTAGCTAAAATCCAGTCTTCGTTTTTAAAGGTTTATGCCTCCCGACGATCCTTTGGGAAGGAACGGACCGACATTAGACAACTTCCTGAGAAAGACTCCAGGGCCCCCCGAGGGCAAACGGGTGCACTGCCCCTACGGTACGCCTCCATACAGATTTGCCTTTACTTCCTGTTTGTCAGAATCACAAATGTTTCCACACAGCTGTTCATGGTCTCCCATCCGTGACTCGAGCAGGTGTCCTACAGGATTTACTTCATTTAGTCCATTGGTTGATTTTGTTCCATTTGGAATAGGGGTGTTGTTAATTGTTACTGCAACCACCAATGGCTTGAAGGACTGTCCAAATGGGTTTAAGGACCTCTTCCTGTCCTTAGTGAAGGCACCGAAGCATGCAGTGCCATGATTTCACTCAAAACTACTTGTCAACAAGGATGTAAGAGCTGTTATGTGGAATGCTATCTGACACCCTGTTTTCTTTCCCTCCAGGTAAAAAGTGCACGTACGGCGTTAAATGTAAATATTACCACCCGGAGCGCTCAAACCAGTCTCAGCTATCGGTTGCCGACGAGCTCCGGGCAAAAACTAAACCAGTTCTGGAGCTGGACCAGCCTGGTAACACACGACCCTGCTCCCCTGGTCAGACAGTCCCCTCAGACGGACTCTCCCTCAGAACCTCCTTATCAGACTATGGACACAACGGCCATTTTTACATCAGCCCCCCACCCACTAAAGCTCCAAGTTGCCAGGAGGACCATCCCTGCCGACTCTCTCCCTCCACGCAGCTGGACAGCCGGAGGGATTCGAGCAGCCCAGTCCACTCACGAAGGTCGCCCACCTGCCAGAGCCTTGAGAGCGACGAAGCTTTCGGCTCTCTGGAGTCGTCGGTGTCTCACCTGTACGTGCAAGAGCCGGAGAGTCAGGAGCTCCCCCAACTGTGCTGCCGGGGCCCCGGGAGCCCACAGCAGAGCCAGTGCAGCACCAAACACTGCTGCAGCTCGCAGAGACAGTGCAGGGACAGCCACCTGCCAGAGGGCTATTACCACGGGTCTGCTCGCTGGCTGCAGGCCGGCCATAACCACAATGCATTCAGGCACCATCAGCATGCCCACGGGCATTGCCCCTCGTATGGGGAGCCAGCTCGCTACACGGCACGCCGTTACGCCCAGCCGCACGCCCCCTGGGGGGCTTTTTCCCTGGATCCCAGTGCACACACCAACAGCGAGCAGAGGAGGAGTATGAGAACTCAGCTTGGTAGCATGTTCCCCCAAAGCACTGTGAACATGTCCGAACTCGTTCCACTGATCCACCGGCTTTGAAGCAGCCGGTGGAACAGCCGCTTCTAGCCTTTCCCCTATTTTTATGTAGTATTATTCTTAAATAAAAACGCTGCTTTGCTCTTTGTGTTCATTTCCTCCTCGTGCTGCACAACCCTTTCAGCATTAACTCTACTGCCCTCTGCTGGATGTTAAGTGGTGGGCCACTTACCAAAGTACAAAAAGGAACAATTCAGAGTAGATTTTTTTTTTTATTTTTACAAATAACTTATCTGTTACAAAGACCGTTTTCCCAGCTAAACTCAAAAACAACTTTAGATATCCAAATCATTTAATCATTGTAATGAACTGAATCTTCACACCGAGGTGCAAATGAAGCTGAAAACTCCTTTTGGAAGCAGAGCATGATGCAAGTGCTTCAGTAACAACTCTGGTATTAGCTGTTCAGTTGGCTTCCATGACTGAAAGATCTGTTTAAAAAACTTGATATAATCTCGCAGTTGTATGGCCAAGTTACAGAATCACCATTCTAAAAAAAAATAAAATAAAAAAAAAAAATGTGCACTGGCATATCAAGATGTGACTCCACGGATCTCTGCAGGGGGAACCGTAAAAAGGGTAAAGGACCAATCTCCATTCTCATCAAACCATTATCAAAGTCAAAGCTTTACGGGACAAACGGAAACGTCTGGGGGGGTCACAAATAGGGTTTATATACACACTTTCACCTTTGTCTCATCCCGTTTCACTTTGATTAACATTGTATTGTTATTTTGGAGACAGAAGGGAAAAGGCACATGGTGAAACATTTAAAAAAAAAAAAAAAAAAAAACACTAAAAAAGTACAAATCTACAAATGGCAAGTTCTAATTCTCAATCCATATGGCATAGTAAACGTCCCATTTCCGATAGCCCCTAAAAACTGCCACCTTCCAAAAATGAGTCCTCAGTTCAATCCCCAAACGTTGTCCCCATCTCCGGCTCACCGTCCTGCAAGGGACGCGGCGTCACTCAGCACAGGAGTGAAAAATCCCCCCCCCCCCTCCCCGAAAAAGTCAAGCCTACATTCCAGTTGTCAGACAAGATGACGGCTCGTGACGTTCCGTAGGCTCCCAACCAGTCTGATGTCTTTGGCACCCCAAGGCAAATCCCCAGCTTCTCCGCAGGTCGTAGTGGGGCAGGAGGGGTAAAAATGAACATTTACAGGGCTTACGAGCAGATCAGAGGGGAGAAAGTGTGCATAGTTTCATATTATTGCTCTTCTGTTATGCAAGGCTTCACTTCTCACAGATATCAAGTAAAAAGCTTAGAAAGGGACAACGTGCTTATTTGGTTGGGAAAAAAAAAAAACAGAAAAAGTCTATTATGCTATACTTACAGGAAATACAAGTGATTCATAGCGTGGGGAGGTGCGCGTTTAAAGCACGTTCTAAAACTATGTACAGTAAAACTGGGCTATTAATCCGACTTGTACTGTACATACAAAGCATGCCGTTTACTTTGACTCGTTAACTGTGGATCGAAGGAACGGAATCTGAAGCAGAAGGGACGCGAGGCAACATTTTGGTGGCGGGAAAACATTCTTCCCATCTTCCGCTGGGAAGAGACCAGCCAGAATAGTCCAACAAAGGAAGAGGGAAGGAGAGAAAAAAAAAAAAAAAAAAAAGCTGTGTGTTGGTTTGTTTTCCCGTCAGACGCAGCGCTGTAGCCAAGCCCCCTCCCTGGATCCTTCTCTGTCCCAGAAGAAAAGGCGAAGGAACATGAACACCTTGGAGGAGTGAGTGAGAGCTCGCGCATGTGTATGTGTGTGTGCGCACATGCGATCGTGCCAAAATTACTACTCATAATACTGCGTGCAGAAGTGCCGAGCAGCCCCCCCAAGTATGAGGATTCCCCAGAAAGCAGGGAGGGGGCCCTGCACATACTGTCGACTCCAAGGTGAGGTATTATCAGGGCTGCTGCCTTAAGTAACACAACCTGTAAACACGATCCAGTCAAGCCTTCAGCGGACCACATTCTACAAAAAAAAAAATCATAAATCCTTGCAGTGTGTCCATACGTTCTTGAAATCCCCGTTCCTAAGTGAGTCGCAGATAGCGGTAGGGAAATGGGCCGCGGCCCTCTGGCGCCCCCTGGCTCAGAAGTGCCGTGGGAACTCGCACTGTTCACAGCGGTGAAGAGCAGGGTGGTTCAGAAAGGTGCAGGCCGTACAGCTCCACTGCACCCCTTCGTCTTCCTCCTGGTCTGCTACAGTCTTTGGGGTCCTTGAGCTGGACTCTGCAGGGTAGAGAGATGGGGGTTT